TTCACAAGGCTGAGGCAGGAGAATTTCTCTCGCCCAGAAGTTTGAGGTTGCAGTAAGCTATGATGATGCCACTGCACTCTAGCCCGAGCAACAGAGTGAGACCCTGTCTGAAGAACTCAAAGGACATCAACAATAACTAAATGTATGTGTTAAAGGATCAAACAAAATATTTAAGTATAAAATTAAGTATTAATATGGCAAATTTCCACAGGATTTGTTTTGAAAATAGAAACATCACTTCCATCACTTTTCAAATAACGCAATTTTTACAAACCACATTCAGCAATACCCTTAATCAAATACTTTAATAAAATACTTTTGTATTTATTTCAGAGGATCTTTTAAAGGGTTAGAGCCTATGATCAGGTCCTTTCAGTGATTTTTTTTCCAGGTCAATTAAGGATAGCTGGGTCTAGGAGAGAATGCGGAGAGGAAATGAGAGAGACGGCTTTCTTCTCTGTGCTCATTCACTAGCCTCAAAGACGGTCTGTTCATAATCAGGCATTGTAGTCAAAAGCAAATGGGAAAGCAGCTCAATTTTTCATTGAAAAACATTCATCTTGTTTTAAAAAAAAAAAAAGGAAAGGCTGCTACTGCATTTTAAATTTGTTCAACTCATTGCTACAGAACATCTTTTGGATGAATAGTAAGTTTCAGAGGATAACCAAGCACTTTACACAAATGAGAACATATGAAGTCATCCCAGGAATGATAAATTTGCTTGGCCATCAGTCCTTGTGCTTCAGGGCATGGACTGGTCACTAGCTGGGAAAGAAGCTATTCCCCCAGTGGTATAGCATTTTGACAGCCTCATCAGTTACAACCTGGTTTTCATTCCCCTTTAAACACGACTCATTGGACAGCTTTCAGGTACGTTATGGCCACATAGTGCAACACGACAGGAAAATTTTCAATGGCTACAAAAATATTTTAGAGAAATTAATTTTAAAAAATAATAAAAACTCTCAGTGACAGTAAGCAGAATATCATAGATCCTAACAAAGAGAATTTGGGGTATTTATTACACACAGAGCTTGACAGGGGGTGAAACTCAGCATTTGTGGAATGAAGGAATTAAAAAAGGAAGCTGCACATACCTGGCTTCTAATCCCGGCCTCACCAAAATTTGACCTTTAGTACTTAGTCACATGTGTGTGCTTATCCTCAGTCTTCTGCTCTGTAAAGTGAGAATAATTGTATGTGCTTCTTATAATTACAGAGATTGAATCAAGTAATGTATATAAATAAACTGACCCACTGCCTGAAACAGGGTGAATTCTCAACAAAAAACAATCATTCTAACACCTCTCCTAGCATTCAATAATGTAGCTCCATCCTAACCAAATAGATATAACATTAAAACAGGTGAAGATACTTCATAATAGATGAAATCTCTCTATACTGACTGTTAGAAATCTGTATTGTCCTCTTTGTTTGTAAACCCAAGACTGTATTACAACATCAGACATCCTCTAACACTGTGGCCCCCGCCCCTTAGACTGTGGACCAGTACCAGTCCATGACCCATTAGGAACTGTGCCTCACAGCAGGAGGTGAGCAGAAGACCAGCCAGCAGTTTTGTCTGTATTTACAGCCGCTCCCCATCACCTGCCTCAGGACCCGAGTGCTGCCTCCTGTCAGATCTGTGCCTTAGACTCTCACAGGAGCCGAACTCTACTGTAAACTGCACATATAAGGGATCTGGGTTGCACCTTCTTATGTGAATCCAAGGCCTGACGAACTGAGGTGGAGTTGAGGTGGTGATGCTAGTGCCAGGAGTGGCTGCCGACACAGATGATTATTAGCAGAGAGGTTTGACTGCACAGAGACCATGATACCTCAGTTGCAGGCAGACTCATATCACAGCCTACCAGTGAGTGACAGTTAAGCTGCACCTGGTGGCAGGCTTTAAGTCAGCTTATGACACTTATTTTAGCCCACGCATGGCCTACCCATTATTTTATTTAATATTTCCATCAATGTCTCTTTCCTGCACTGCACACGTGTCTGTCACAGTTTCAGTAAGGTTGCAAACAAATCTTAGCAAAAGTGAGTAAAAAACAAACATCCCTGAAGAGCTTCTTTGAAAAGAGGGAAAGGCCCAATGATGAGACGAGAAGTCTCTGAGACTGCCAACAAAATGAAAACCGCATATAAAAGAAAATACCAAGAGTCCTACTTAAACTATGGGTTCATGGCAACACGTGATTCACATTCTCCGAAGCTGCTTTGTGCTGTGTGTACAATAGGTAGCAACCAGCTATCCCATGAAGCCAGGAGACCTTCAAAATTCCTTCTCCACAAGACCTGCCTTAAAAGACAACTGTTGAGCTGGGCATGGTGCACAACCATAGTCCCAGCTACTCGAGAGGCTGAGGCAGGAGGATTGCTTGAACCTAGTAGTTTGAGGTTGCTGCGAGCTATGATGATGCCACGGCACTCTATCCAGGGTGACAGAGTTACACTCTGTCCAAAAAACAGACAAACCCTTGGAGTTTTCCAAAAGAAAAGAACACGAACATGGAGAACAGAAGCAACCATTGAAGGCCACCGCTTTATCAAATGTGTTCGCACTGACTGAGAGCAGCATTCACACAGCTAAAGCGAAGAATCCCTTTACTATTGGTGAAGAGTTCATTCTGCCTGCTGCTAAGGACCTTTGCCATGAACTTTTAGGAGAGGCTGCAGTTCCAAAGGCAGCACGTGTTCCTCTTTTGGTTGCACCATAACTAGACACTTTGATTAAACAGCAGAGGATACTGAGGCACAATTGTTGGAGAGGATTAACGATTCGCCATGGTACGCAATCCAGGTTGGCAAGTCTCCTGATGTTGACCACAGGCAACAGTGCTTGTTTTGTGTGATATACTCTCCGGAGGATGTGCATAAGGCTATGTTACGTGAACTTTTGTTGCCAACCAAAACCACAGGTGCAGAATTACTCAAATCTGAATGACTGCATATCAGGAGAAGTGAATTGGCCATTTTGCCTGAATGTATGCTGCCCTACCACTTTTCAACTTTACTTTGAACTAGGCATAAGCTTTCTGAGCAAAACTCTTGATGATATACTGGTCCAAGGCTTGAGACGTGTGGTAAAATTCACACAAAACCCAGGAAAGGACCATCTAACCCTTTCTCAGTAATTAGCTACATGTTAAAAGTAAATTCCCTGGGGTCCATAAATTAAATATATCCTGCAAGTACAGATAACCACCCAATCATACTTGGAGAAATTCTATGCCTGAAAACAGAGTACCCATGCCTATGGAGCTCTGCTCCCAACCAGTTAAAAGTCAGGTTTAAAATAAATCATGTAGCATCTATGATCAACATGGCTTTAAATAACAATAAGGACTTTCCCCCCCACGCCACGGTCAACTGCTGTTCTCACTGCAGCTAAACAAGGGCTTGGAAAGATAACCTAGTTTACTGGACTACTTCTATGTGTCTACGAGCAGAGTTTCTTTCTGGGTAACAAAGTGGTTTCAAATTATAAATGTAGCTGCATAGATCAATTATCTCTTTTCTGGAAGGTGGAAAACTGGAAGATTTTTTAGAACTTGCAAAGAGCTTTTGTCATTGACTTCATGAATCACTCAGTAAAAGCCAGTCATGTACTATTTCAAATATTACTACCTCAGAATGTCACTTAAAGGTTTTCCTTTTCCCTTTTTCCCCTCCCTTCCTCTGTCCTTTCCTCCTCTCTTCCTCCCTCTCTCCCTTCCTTCTTCCCTCTACATGGGCTAACACTAGAACCACCACCACCATCATTATCACATACGTCACTGTCACTGGAGGAGAAACATACCCTGCTGTGAGCTGTGGCAGATGCTCAGGGCACGTGGCACTGAATAATGCTGTTTGGAGTCAAACATTGAGACTCACACAGTGATTCATTTACACAGCTAGTTGCTAAACTATGGGCACTGGGAAACAAACTCTTCCTGCCTCAGCTGAATCCAAGGTCCTCCTGGTCTAATGAGAGCTCAGACAGGTGCTGAGGGCAGGGGGGTGGGGGCAGCCGTGAGGAAGCAGGGAGGAGGCAGAGCGACAGAAGCACGTTCGTTCGCACTCCAGCCCGGCTAGCCAAGCGTGAAAAGAAGGGGGTGGAGATCTGGACTAACGCAGTGCCTTTACCTCAGTTACCCAGTTACATCTCACGGCAACACGAGGACATCGATATTGTCAGTCCTCTTTTGGAAACGAGGGGCCAAGTATGCAAAGGGGGGCGTCTCGCCACGGCTCCCGCCAGCACCGCCGGACTCCTGGGGTGGGATGCTCAGGGCTGACTAGGGCGGCTTCGTGCAGGCGGTAAAAGCCCAGCTGCCGTGCAAAAACCCAGGCCCGGGCGAGCCGCCTGCAGAGGCCGCCAGCAGCGGCAGGAGCAGGGGCGTCCTCCGCGCCCGCCTTGGGTGGGTGGGCACGGGGACCGGAGCCGTCTGCCACACGCGGACTGTACCGCGGCGCCCCCGCCCCTTGCGCCAGCCCCCTCGCTGCGGGGAGGGGTTTCTCACGCCCCCTGCTCCAGGGTGACTGCTCCGGAGGTCGGAAGGAAGTGGGGCGAGGGATGAGTCATCTGCCGATTCCTCCTCCCGGTCCCCAGGCCCCCGCACGCCAGCCCCCGCCCGAGATCCTGCAGCCGGGAGCCAAGCCTCCCCTGAGCTCCAGACGCCACCAAACCCCCCGTGGCCTGCGGAGGCGCGGAGACGGACAGAGCGTCTGGCCAATAAGAGCTTTGCTCTCTCACTCACCGCCCAATGGGCCGCGGCTCACAAGCCGGGGCGGGACTAGGAGGACGGGAGGGGGCGGCCCGGGGCTGGCGCGCAGAGCGGCGGCTCCGCGGCTCACAGAGCGAGCGCCTAGCTGGGTGTCGGCGCCAACACAACGCGGGAAGGCGCCACCGCAGCCGCCGCAGCCGCTGGCCAAGGTGCTGGACTAGACGGGCCCGTCAGCCGCCTCGCCCGCTCAGGCACCCGCTGCAGCCGCTGCTGCATCGCCCCCGACCGGTCCCCATGGAGGAAATGGAAGAGGAGTTGAAATGCCCCGTGTGCGGCTCCTTCTACAGGGAGCCCATCATCCTGCCCTGCTCCCACAATTTATGTCAGGCGTGCGCCCGCAACATCCTGGTGCAGACCCCGGAGTCCGAGTCCCCTCAGAGCCGTCGGGCCTCCGGCTCTGGGGTCTCCGACTATGACTATCTGGACCTGGACAAGATGAGCCTGTACAGTGAGGCGGACAGCGGCTACGGCTCCTATGGGGGGTTCGCCAGCGCCCCCACTACCCCGTGCCAGAAGTCCCCCAACGGCGTCCGCGTGTTCCCCCCAGCTATGCCTCCACCGGCCACCCACCTGTCACCGGCCCTGGCCCCTATACCCCGCAACTCCTGTATCACCTGCCCCCAGTGCCACCGCAGTCTCATCTTGGATGACCGGGGGCTGCGTGGCTTCCCTAAGAACCGCGTCCTGGAAGGGGTAATTGACCGCTACCAGCAGAGCAAAGCTGCGGCCCTCAAGTGCCAGCTCTGCGAGAAGGCGCCCAAGGAGGCCACAGTCATGTGCGAACAGTGCGACGTCTTCTACTGCGATCCGTGCCGCCTGCGCTGCCACCCGCCGCGGGGACCCCTAGCCAAGCACCGCCTGGTGCCCCCAGCCCAGGGCCGCGTGAGCCGGAGGCTGAGCCCGCGCAAGGTGTCCACCTGCACAGACCACGAGCTGGAGAACCACAGCATGTACTGCGTGCAGTGCAAGATGCCCGTGTGCTACCAGTGCCTGGAGGAGGGCAAACATTCCAGTCACGAAGTCAAGGCTCTGGGAGCCATGTGGAAACTGCACAAGGTGAGTCCTAAGAAAACCTGCTCTAACTCCCCGCGCCTCCTATCCTCGGGTGTCGCAGCACACTGCTCCCTCTCTGGCGCACGGCGCACCCCCGCGGGGGCGCAATGCAGGTGCCTTCGACGTTTACCTCCCCAGTCTGGTGCATTGCAGGCGGCGTGGGGGGATCCTAAAACGGCTCTCAGGGGAGTTGAATGTCCCTAGAGAGTTGGTGCCGGGATGCCTTGGAGCAGGCCTGCCCGGGAGCGCTGCATGCGAGCTGGGTGCAGGGCGCCCCCTTTCCGCAGCGGGTCTGCAGCCTGCTGCCGCGGTCAGCGTTCCGGAAAGCGCTGGGTTTAGAGTCACTGCCGTGCCAGTGTCCAGGGCGTCCAGGCACGCTTCAGAGTCGGGTGGGCTGAGCTCCAGGAAAGAGAATGGGGTGGGGGTAGGGTGCGGGCGGTGGGGTCGCGCGGGCACCAGAAGACTGGAGCTGTTGGTTGGGCGGACGCAGTGTGGCACCACGGGGCCAGAGAGACGCCGCCGCGGACAGAATGCTGATGAGCCTGCTCTGGAGCCTGGGTGCCTGGAGCTTAGGAAGCAGAGAGGACTGGGAAGCCTACAGTTGCCATGGCAACACGGCAGGCAAGCCCCGGCCCTGACCCTCCTACAGGGGGACCTGGGATTGAAGTGCCAAGACCCGAGTTTTCTGCAAGGTCTCCGCCTGGAAGTCAGTTGGGTGCGTGTCCCTGGGACACCCCCTCCTCTCAACTACCTACCACACGCCCAGAGCCCGCAGTAGTTGTTATGTGCAAACTCTGGAACACCTGTTACCAGATTTATCTTTCCAGTCGCTTTTGATGGTGATTTCACCACAGCTATTTTAAAAGAGAAGCGTGTTTAACAACGTATGAGGTTGTGCCAGTCCTCTGCTCAAAGCCCTCCATGGTTCCCCGCACTTCTCAGACCGTGGGTAGAATGGCCTGCCAGGACCTATGTGACCCCCACCCACTCAGTCCCTCGACCCCAGCCACACTGTGCCCCTGGCTGTTCTGCTAACACCAGCCACCTCCCCACCCTAGGGCTTTGCATTTGGCTCCCTGGCCTGAGACTCTCCTTCCTCAGCCCCCTGATCAGAATGGCTTGCTCACTTGCCTCCTTCAGGTCATTATCAGTGGTCACCTTTGCAGTGCCACCCATCCAGACTGACCCCTCTAGTTCCCTCCCAGCTTTCTTTTTCTCACTAGTACTTCTTATTACTATCTGGCACACTGTATGTTTTCATTATCATGTTCCTTCTGTATTTATTTGTTGCTCCCCCTACACACACACTAGAAAACAAGCCCCACTAGGAGAGATCTTTGTAATATTCCGCCTACACTGCCTAGAAGGAAAGGGGCCACTGGAGGAGAGGAGCATACATTTGACTTTTACTTGTTTGGTACACTTAGTTGGGGGTGTGGAAGGCAGGGTAGGGGTTCAGGATTATTGGACAAAGGTATTCTTTACATCACTGACTTGCACACCCAAGAATGAGGCAGGGCTGACGGTGTGTTCTTGCCTCCATTGTGGCCCCAGAGTTCACAGCATGAACCCTTGGAGACTAGAAAGATTGCCCACTGAGTTAAGGTTGAACGTTTTTTTATTTACAGCAAAAAAACAAAAAAAAATTCACCATTTGCTACAGTGAGTGAAAGTTTTTCTCTGTTCCTTATCCCAGGGGATCCCTGTTCAGTTACCCTATTCATGTAACCAATTACACCATATTAGCGGTAGTGGAGATCTCCTGTAGCACAGATTTGAGCCCCACCAGACATATGTTAAAGCTTTTTAAAATGACGTTTAATTTTGAAAGGTTTCAAAACTTTAGTTCACAGCCAATTTTTTCTTCATATTATGATTTCACTCTAAAACTGCGAATAGTATTCTCTGTTAAACTGCCCTAAAAGTATCCTTGGAGCTAAGAAATTAACCACTCTATCTGGAAAAATAAATTAGAGCCACAAGCTATTATCATGGTTAAACCACAGCGTTATTTTTCTGTGAAGAAATGCCTCTATTTGGTCCATTAAGGCCAAAAGAAAACTTTCAATCTCTCTTGATCCCCATGTAGATTTGACATGTTACCCATTTGTTTTATTGGGAATAAAAGCACGGTGGTGCTGACTGGGTTAAAATTTGGATATCTGTCTGCTAAAAAATACTAATTTAAAACCCTTGAGACATAAGACATAAGTAGGATAAAAGAATATTTATTCTCTGATCTCTTGGACATTTTTTTCCAAAATAATAAGTTGGTATATTATTGTTCGGTCAATATAAGGATTATTAAACTGCTAAGAAAAAGTAAGGCAGAAAGATGACAGATTTTAACATTGACTTGTCATCTGTCAGATGAACAACAGACACTACTCCCCCACCTGTTTCCTGAATAAGCAAGTTAATGTGTTAGTGCTGGGTTTTCTCCTGTAGTCTGTTTTAGTTAATGATACTGCATCTCCACAATAGCTCATGGGCTGGAATTTCTATGTCCTTCAAAAATAGAAGAACAAAGAATTATACTAAGCATGCCTCCCTAAGTCGAGCAGTTAGTTTTCAACATGGTTACTACTAGATCTGAAGAGTTTTCATTCATATGCTACCGTATTAGTCAGTTCTACTAATAAAGAAAATCCTTGAATAAGGGTGGAGAAGGAATCCTCATGACCCTGACAAGAGTACAGCCATTTTGGGAGACAGCTAGTGAGAGAAGACAGGCCAGAAACCAAACTGCATGATCACAGCATGATCCGCCCCACCCCCTAGAATGCTTCAAGGCCAGTGTTCGTGGGAACCAAAAGAACAGTAACTTTCCACCCCAGAGATAAGCCCCTGGTCCCCTCCACTGAAGGGCGTAACTCCAAGATTAGCCCCGGTGCTAAAAATGCCTCCCCTAACAACCCCCTTCCACAATCCAGCTATACTGATAAGCCTCTTGAAACCGTGTGACAGTGAGCTGACTTTTGGTCAGTCTCCACTCTGCTTTTTTTCCTCCTAATAAAACCTCTCCCTAACCCCCAAACTAGCCTCCACTCCTTGCAGACCATCACCCCAAATCTGCTCTCCAGCCCTCAGTAAGTATTTCACACAGGCATAAGTCATCATATTACACATTCAAGACAAGATGGATTAAGTTTATTTTTTAATGGGTTTTAAAAACTACTGGTTGAAATTCATTAGTTGTCAGTTGACCAAATTAAAGTGTTTTTTGGATCCGTGTGGCCTTCAAGATCTATGAGAATATAACAGTAAATGAAGAGGTCTTGTAAGTCAGATGTCTGGGAGCAGTTTTTATTTGTATCAGCACTTGCTGGATCCCTTTATTCAACTGAGGTTGGTAAAAGAGTTGCAATACAAAAAAAAAAAAAATGTGGACACTTTAAAATGGGCAGTTGGAACCACTGTTATTTCTTTGTAATTTTGAGGAGTTCAGATCCCTAGATTATAACATTACTCTTGAATTCCTGAAGTGTTTCAATCAGTAAATAAGTAATATATTTGTCACTATTCTTTTGTATTTGTGCTAATGAGCAAAGACTTTCTTCTCCTTTCTATCCTAAACATTATTCATTCTGAATCTTTGTCACAAATGTTATTTCTCTCTTACCTTTGTGTTTTGAGTGGAGATTTGCAATTTAAATAACATCTTAAAATAAATTGTCAGTTTATACACTTTCATTTCCAAAGTTTTCAGGAAAAACTATCTGCTTAGGTTTATGGCAGCATCTCATTAAATACTTGTATAGCAAAATGTGTTATATAATGCTGCTAAAATAATTCTCTGTTACCCATAGAACAGTAGCAAAACACATTCAAATCTGTATGTTCCTGTGGTAAATGTAACAGGTAGCGTATGTCCATGTTTTTAAATTTATCTTACTTCTAGTACAACCAAAACATTCTGTGTTCAGAATGTTCATCTGTAAACATGTTTACAGATATGCATATTAAGAGAATGCTCCAGGGAAGACATTGGTTCTGCTTTGTACTGAGGCACAAAGAGCTGGGTGACAGGAGATGCCGGTCTGGACTGATGCTGCCGCTGACTGACGGGAGACTTTAATCAAGTCCCGTCACCTCTCTGTGCTTCCTACCCATGAGGATGTAAGGGAGTCAAAACACTAACTGTGAAAAGATTTTGAGAAAATAATTGAAATTTTTATAATTTGCTAATTTCAGTTTGGCACAACCATAAACTATTTGTGTAAAACTGAAGTCAGCATCTCGCTAGCAACAGTTACTACATATACAATGTAGGAGTGCATGGCACACCTTCTGGGTGCAGGACACAACTGCAAGAGGGACTCTACCTAAAAAATTCAAATATCACGACCTGGTTATACCCTCACATTAACCTGAAATAAAAATAAATAAATACAAATTAAAAATAAAAAAGTACATCTGATAACATTGCTAATGTAGGACTTATCACTTATATAATACCTAAAGTAAGACAAATACATATACAGGATAAACCTAATGAACAATGATATTTCAAATTTTAAAAATTTACTGCATAAAAACCTCACCTCCCAATTTGGGGTACTGTGCTTGCTCCTCTCTGAGCATAGTGTGTAGTCCAGAGCTGCCCTAGACGGTGGCCTAAAAGAGGAAGCCATATCCTCCTGGGTCCAGAGAGAATATTCAGTTGAATTAAGCTCAAGAAATGAGAATACTACACGAAAATTTACATATTGAGCAAATGTATTTTGTTTTTCCATAACAAAGCTGTAATATAGTGACAACTGGTATGACTCAGGTTTTTCTTAGATTATCTAATAAAGATATTGTTATTGCTTTGAAGTACTAGAAATTGTTTGTCCTGTATATGCAATGAAAAGATGCTATTACCTGGGATTCCAGGTCAAATCACAGTTTGCATAAAGTAAGAGAAAATTATATAGCCATCTGTTGTCAGGTGATATGAATAACATGCAGGCAACAGATTGTCTTTGCCATTAGTAAATTGCAATTCCCTTACCTAACAA